GGGGGCAAGGAGGCTGCAGTATGAGAAGCAAAAGGGGAATGCCTGTGGGAGTATGTGGTGCTGTGTAATCAAAAGCGCTTGTTGTGTTCAGCGCCTCGTATCGTGTAATCAAAGCGCTCGTCATGTTAAGGCGTTTGTGTTTGGGTTTATGAAAAAACTCCCTAGAGTGATTTCCTCTCCACTAATGCGCCCAAGTAAGAAATGCGCCCGTAAGAAATATGCGCCCAAGTAAGAAATACGCCCAAGTAAAGCACCCGTGAAATATGTGCCCGGAACGAACGCGCCCGTAAGAATTTGCGCCCATTTAGTAAAGCACCCATATATTTGTGCCCAATATCAGGAAAACCCACCATTAGAAAGCGCCCATAAATACGCGCCCATGAAAATAAAGCGCCCAATTAAATAACGCGCCCAAGGAAAGCATGAGAAACAATAAGTGCAATAAAAATGCGCTCTGAGATATAATGCGCCCTAAAAAGAGTTGACAAGGCGAGCAGAAAGTTGACAAGGCCCAACGGGCATACGCCCAAGCAAAAGTTTATGAGGAAAGCAAGACAAATCGACGAACATCCAAAGAAAACAATGGTACATGCCACAAAAGAGGCGCGCCCTCACTACTCGGCCTCCGAGGAGTCACTCATGGACGACTCGCTCTCTGGTGAAGAAGGCGCCCCCCTCTCTCCCGCATGCGCCGCACCGTCCTCAGTCGCCTCCTCTTGCTCCTTTTGCATCTCCTCGATGACAAAGTTCACGAGGTCAGGGAAGTTGACGGTGATGTCGGGGTACTCCTGGTCAAGCTTCCTCTTGACAAGCACCAAACTATCGAGGGACGCCTTGGCAATTAGGTCTTGCCCTGCCTCAGAGTTGGGAAAATTCTTAAGCGCCGCCTTGAGAGACCTTTTTTTCCCCCGCACACTCTTGAGCGCCTTCTTGTAATCCCTGCGGCGGTAGGCGGCCGCCTTTACCTCGTCCTGGAGGGTGCTTTTCTCCTCCTTCAAGGTCGCAAGTTCGGCGTCGCGGGCGCCCAGATCTAGGGTAAGGGCCTCCTTCTCCGCGGTCAAGGCGCCTAGCCTTTGCCCAAAGTCTCGGCGCTCTTCTTCCATACGAATAGCAAAGTCGGCGTCCCGTTGGCGGCGCTCCTCCTCTAAGGTGCTTTGAAGCGCCGAAATCTGCTTTGCCGCCTCCAATTGCGCCTCCTCGCACTCTTTAACAAGTTGCTCGCGGCGCATGGTCACGGTATCAAGGTTGTCCTTCATGGAGGACAAAGACGACCGGGCCTCGCGGCACTCCTCAAGCGCCAGGTCTGTCTTCCGGGCGCCTGCCTCGGCAAGAAGGAGCATCTGCAAGACGCCCAAGCGAGCAATGTGAAAAAATGCAAGTCAAATAAGGGCGCCACAAAAAAAAAAGGTAGGCGCTTAAACAATGTGAAACACATGCAAGACAAATGAAGGCGCCTAGGAGGGCATACCTTGGCTCCCATTCGGGCGACTTCAGCCCATGGATGATCCTCCGATATCGAGGAGGGCACCTGCAGAAGTTTCGACGCCGAAAGAGCCAGGCCCATTGCGCATCCACGTTCCACTGCTGCTCGTGGAGAGCAAGACAAGGCCACCCGCCCCAAGTCGGTGTGCCTGGGCTGAAGCATGGGGGGCCTTCCATCGGGCCCCAATAGGCGCCCTTCCACGATTGCATATCGTGGGGGCTGGGAATCGCCTTGACTTGCGGCGCCTCCCTCTCCTTTGTCAGCTCTGTGCCGTTTTGCTGGTGGAGTCATTGGGGCGCCTCCTCTCTTCCCACGAGTGATCAAGGGCACTTCATCCTCTTGATCATCCACGTCCTCGACTATGACGCGGCCTTCCAAGCCATCTGCGCCCAAGGGTGTGGACGCCTCGCTCGATGCCCCAGTGGTCTTCTCCCCGGGCGCCTTCCCCTTTCCTTTATCCATAGGCGCCACCAGCGGTTGTGGAGTAGAGACCGAGGCAGGGGAAGACTCCCCAAGGTTGGACCCTCCTTGTCGAGGCTCCTCCAGAGTCATCCTTTCATACCGACTCTTGATCAAGTCAGCAATGCGGCCAAACCTCGTACCTGCGAGCAAAACCAGTGGTTAGCTAAGGCGCCCAAAAAAAAATGCCAAAGGCAAAAAAAAGCACTCAACACACCATCCGCATAGTATTCCTCTAAAATAGGCGCCCGTGCACTAGTGGGGCGCAAATTGACAGGCGAGGCGCTTATTAGGGCGGCCCCGGCTCGCTCTTCTCGACTCAGGACAACGGTAGCGTTGAAGCGCGCCTCAATACCAAGCTCCCAGTCAGTTCTAAAGGCGCCTCCGCTTTCAAAGAAATAGTCTCTATGCGCCTTTATAAAGAAGAACCCGTTGAACCATGTGCGCCCCAATTTAGGGCACTTCGTCACAAAGTGGGCATGCAATTTCTTCCGCCGCTTCAAGGACAGACAGTTGTCCCGGGAAATCACTGAGAAAAAGTGGCGGAATAGGTTGAAGGTTGGGCGCACATGATGAATTCGGCACTTCAACTTGAAGAGCACAACAATAAGTATCACGGACGGAGATAGGCGCCCGATTGTGCATTCGCAGTACTCCAGGATGCCCTCCAATATGGGATCTATGGGAAACCGGAGCCCGAACCGGAAATACTCCTGATATATTCCCAACCAACGAGGCCCGCACAACCCCACCCTGGCCATAGGCGATGGAGGCGCATACGTCCAGGTGCGGGGGAGCCCGAGCCCATCGATCAGGCTTTTCATCCAAGGCGCCGAGATGGTGGAGTTATGCTCAGGCCCTGCCACATTCGTCGGCAAACATGTTGTCTCCCAGGGCGCATACTCTGGTGGCCAGGTGCCTTCCCAGGTGGTAATCTTGTACGACCCATCTTCTGGCACGTCGTAGTTCGATGAAGGCGTCGGTATGGGTGACAGTGCGGGCGCCTCCACTAAAACAAGTCAAGTAGGCGCACAACCGTTGGAGCAGTAAGAGGCGCCTCCATCGCAAGAATACACAAGCATTCACAAAAAAAAAAAAAAAAAAGCGAGAGTGGCTTACCGGTTTTGCTAGGGCCGCCTGGATTCTGGGAAGAGCCTGCGGCGGCGGCAGCAGCATCAGAGGGGAGAGACATCACGGCGAGAGCAATTGAACGCTGAGAAAGAAGAGAGGCACAGCAGAGAGAGAAACTAGAGTGAGAAGGCAAATTGAGGGCGAATGAAGAACCATGCCGGGAATCGACTTACATTTAAAGAAAATGGGAGCGCCTCGAATATCGTGCCGACTGCCACGTGGCAAAATTCACAACCACCTCGAATATCGCGCCGGTTGTGAAGGGGGGCAGGAGTGAGGCAGCTTAGGCGCAACGGCGGCCGGGCAACTGGCAAAGTCGTGGCGCCATCATTCAAGGGAAGAAGCAGGGCGCCTTGGGTCAGGAGAGAGTGGCGGCGCCTTTGGCAGAAGAGATGCGTGGGTACAAAGGCGGCCGGGCAATAGGCGAACCGAGGCGGGGCGCTTCGTATCGAAGGAGTGGCGGCGCTTTGGGTTGCCGAACAACTAGGGCACGAGGCGAGGGAGTATAGGCGAACCGAGGCGGGGGGTTGTATCGAAGTAGAATGGTGGCGCTTTGGGGTTGCCCGAACGACTAGGGCACGAGGCGAGGGAGTTGAGGGATGAGAAACTAATGCGCCCAGGTAAGAAAAGGCGCCCGACAATCAATTGTTAACGGTTTTTAGGCGCCTTGAAGAAATTTTAAGTAGAGTACTAGCACAATGCGCCTAGGTGCGAAGGGAGGGTGCTGCTTAAGAAACAGGGAAGCCGAATTCCGTGCGCCCCGAGGAGAGATGATGGGGGGCCCAATGATTGGGGGGCAAACAATTGCCGTGATAGAAGTTGGAAAAGAAAAGAGCAAAAGCCTAATAGTTAGGCGCTCAAAGAATCCAAATTTGACCACCTAACTGGGGGGCAATTGTTGGGGGTATACGAATAAGGAGGCCCCGATGTATGGGTGAGGCCCATTAAAGGGCGCGAAGCCTAAGTAGTTCGAGGAAAGGTGAGCCCATTCAAGGTGGTGTAGGCCCTAATAGGCGCCTTCGGGCTTAGATCAGGAGCAAGTTGGGAGTTGCATACACTAGGCGCCTAGGGGTACTCGTACCGTGGGTGCCTTGGTATGCACGTGGGAATTGTGCACTCGGAGAGGGCGCCTGGAATCTTCTTCGGAGGAAGCGCCCTGGGTCACCCGCATTGAATGTAGGGCTGACGTGGAAATCCGTACAAGAAGGTCCAGGTAAGTAGTAATTGGCTATAAATAGGGTGGTGGGTAAACATTTACTCAATTTGGCTTCTCTCACTAAAAATTGTGCATTGCAAGCACTTCTCTCTCTAAGAAAGATACTGACTTGAGCGTTGGAGGACTAACGGGCCACAAGGCCCACCTCTGTGAGTGCAGGCTTCATCGGGAAGGAGTCAGCTGGTACGGAAGAAAAGTAGGTCGATCGAGTGGGCTTCAACATTTCCCATTTATGAACTATACTATTATAGGAAGAAAATGATCAATCCAAAGACATGCACCAGGAGAAGTGGCAAAACCTGATATACCTAGATTCCATATATAAAAGCCAGGAATTCAGTCATCAAAATATAAGGTAGAGAACTTTGATGAGGTAGCTATGTGTTTAATCTCTTGATGATGTAATATTGCAATTTTTAGATGACTGGAAGTGCACGTTAGTGAAGGGTCATCGTTCTCCGATACTTTTTAGTTATAGTGAGTAAAACTTTTCATGTATTAAATATACTCAACCTTATCCTGTCCGCCATGACTTATGGTTTGATGGAGTCTCCGTGTTACCTTCGGAAGCGATACAGAGAAGGTAAAAATGAATTAGAAAGAATGAATTGAAAAGTGGAGATGCGGGGTATCGATCCCCGTACCTCTCGCATGCTAAGCGAGCGCTCTACCATCTGAGCTACATCCCCTTGATGAAGAAATATATTATTTTTAATTGCCCATGGGTCTTGTCGAAAAGAAGGCCCGGCATGGGAGAGTAGGATTTTGGCAGCCTTGCTCTGGAAATTGGAAAAAAGAAAGGCAAAAGATCGGGAAGTAGCCGCCGCCTCTCAGTCTGCCGCCGGGAGGTCAGCACAGAAGTATCAAGTAACACGTTCCTCGGAAGTTGAGTCGCCGGACTTGGGGCCTCTCTGACCTCTGTTGATACCTCCGCCTCCGTGTATCCGAGGAAAGCATCGCCAGCGGCAATCGAGCTTGATACGGAAATCAATTTCGCCGCTAAAGGAGCACCGCAGCCTAGGTATTTTGCCAACCTTACCGTTTCTACTTTCCAGTTTCAAACTGGAATTTCATATCGACGTCCTCTGTATTTTAATTTGGTGACTCAATCTCCCTTGCACCTGGTTTCCTGGGCTCTGATGTCAGTAGTTGTTAGAGAATCCCAATTTCTGGGATGGAGTTAGCTTACCTCATTTTTTTGGTGGGTAGTTATAAAGTGCTAGTCTTGAGTGGTTTACATTAGCGGAAAGATAGTACACTCAATATGATGATCATGTTTTCTTGTCTAATACACTTGAGCTTGAACTGACGTTGAATCTTATTCCTTCTCTCTAGTTTATTCGAAGGGGGTTAATAGATGGAGAGAGTCCTGCTAGGCATGGCTGGACCATGGGCCGATGATAGTCGTGAAGCAGCTGATCATTACACAACCAAAATTGGTGGACTTCCTGTGAGTAGTTGTTGATCTTTTCATGTTAAGAATGATGATATGCTATTCCCCCCAAATGTTTGTTGAATGGTTTCTTGTATTGATTGTTTCACTTTGACAGGATTGGCCTTTCCCCAGAGAGTCTCTACCGCCGGATCTGCTAAAGTGTCGCAAATGTGGAGGGCACCTGTGTCTGGTTGCACAGGTTGTAAACGCGAGAAACTAAACTATTATAGTTGCTCTCATAAGAACGGATAATTTGTGGATGAGCATATGATCTTTTCCTGATTAGGTTTAATTGTATTTAGGTGTATGCTCCAGTTTCTACCGGATCCTTGAAGATTGAAGAACGTTTTCTTTTGATCTTTGGTTGTATAATGCCTGGATGCGGCACAAGTCCTGATAGGTTCTTGGAACCTCATTTTGTTCTGCTTATCCCTTTCTTTTTTTGCTATGTTCATTACTTAACGGATTCTGGCTTTTCCCCCCCTTTTAACTCTTTGGTTCTCTCTCTAATGTGTTTCTGATGAATTTGCAGCTGGCGAGCTTTTCGTGTCCAGAGATTAGACGATGGAAGAGAAGTGAGGGAAAGCACTCCTGTGAAAACATTGCCTTCAACTACTACACCTTCCATCTCAGATTCAAAGGCCAGTTGGTTTGATGGGTTCGACGATGATGATGATGACGACGAAGATATGGATCTGGAAGCTCTTGGTAGAGCCCTTTTAGAAGCTGGAACGGCCTTGAATTCCGTTTCCAAGAAAGAAAGCCGGAACAAGCGGTCAGGGACAGTTCAAAATTATCTTCCTTCGACTCCAGGAACCAGACTGGTTGACAAGGAATGTCCAGGTAAAGTTGTTCAGATCTGGTACAAATTTTGTTTCCTAAAAGAAAAAAGAGAAGCAATTGTTGTCTGATATCTCTAGTATGGTGCTTCTGCAATGTTTGCAGTGGCTCCTTGCTTTTACATGTATACTCAGGAGCATAAACCTGCAAGTGCTGTTGTCTCTCTATCTTCGAATTACTCTTCACTTTCCATCAAGGAGAAGCAAAGTGCTGATGGTGGTGATGATGATAGTGATAAAGAAACATGGGCACCCGAAGCTTATGAGTATGATGCAGCTTTAAATGCCGACAGAACTTACCTCAAGTTCAAGAAGCAATTGGATGCAAACCCAGAGCAGTGTTTCAGGTAAGCTTACTGAAATCCAGAACGCGGTGCTGAATTTTAATTTATTCTGAACTCAAGAGCCAAATTTCTCTCAGGTATTCCTATGGTGGAAAGGCACTTGTAGCTACCCAAGGGGTAGCAGATGTCGGTGGATGCAAGCTATGTGGCGGTTCAAGATTTTATGAGATGCAGCTGATGCCCACCGTAATCTATTTTCTGCAAGAAGCTGCTGATGACCAGCTAAGACATGCATTAGAGAACTGGGACTGGTTGACTCTACTTGTCTATACGTGTGCCAAGGTCAGTTTCTCCTTTCCCCCATTATTAGATGACAAGGTTCTCTCTAATAGGTTTGGCCCTTGACTTGGATAGAATGATAGATCACTAATCACTTAAAGTTCAATCGGCAACTCTGGGGAAATGGGAATGATCTTGTGGTTTATACGGGTATTGCATCTGAATCTGGAGAAAACTTTCTGCCTTTAATATTTTTGTGTTTTACTTGTCAGAGTTGTTCGAACTCGAATTCTTGCATCGAGGGGTGGATTGTGGCGGAAGAAGGTGTCGTCCTTCAGTCTGAGAACACAAAGGTGACATCTCAACTTAGCCAGTTCCAATGATTTGGGCAGCATTCGTATTCAACAGAATCCCATCCTAGGATACTTGTATTTTCTCTGCTATGTATCAGTCTAGAAAAAAAGATTTTTAGATCTAATCAAACTGTATACCAGGTTGAGTTTTTAGAGAATCCTTGTTTTCAGAACTATTCTGTCTGTTAGGGTTTTGATGGAGTCATGGAGATGAACAGATGTGGCATTTTTGCAACAAGCCCAAAGCAATATTATGGTTATTTGGTACAAAATCAAAGTCTGATGATCAAAGCTAAATGACCGTTTTCTAATAATTAACTGCCAGGAGGAGATGAACATTGATAAACAGAAGTCTCTGCCCATTGGTTAAAATACTTTCAAATGTGGCGCCGCCACGAGCACCAACCAGGACAAAATACACGTAGTCCAATCAGATCGCAAACCGCATACGACGACGTTTCGATTCACCAACCCCATTTAAAGTCTAAACAACAAAACAAAAATCAAACAATATATATACATCATCAACGATCTGATTCTCTCGCAGTCAGATCCCAACACAAAAGAAATATACAAAAGCGAATCAGAAAACTCAACTTCCCTTTCTCTTCTTCCTCACTTCGCTCTCAGCCAAACCCACCACCCACCATGGCCTCAAAGCTCGCATCTTCCAACAACTACTCCCTTCTCCTCCAAAACCCACACCACCACCACCGCGGCGCCGCCGGAACCCACAACCACCTCCGCCCCTCCGCCGCCGCCTCCCCCAAAATCAAGCCTCTTTCCCTACGATGCGCCGCCACCACCGCCGCCGCCTCCCCGATCCCAGCCCACGTCGGAGAAGAGCGCATATTCAATTTCGCCGCCGGACCCGCGACCCTGCCGGCCAACGTCCTCAAGAAGGCCGAATCCGAGCTCTACAACTGGCGCGGATCTGGGATGAGCGTCATGGAGATGAGCCACAGGGGGAAAGAGTTCCTCTCCATCATCCAGAAGGCCGAATCGGATCTCCGCTCCCTTTTGAACATCCCCGAGGATTACTCCGTCCTCTTCCTCCAAGGCGGCGCCACCACCCAATTCGCCGCCATCCCGCTCAACCTCTGCTCCCCTGACGACTCCGTCGATTTCGTGGTCACCGGATCTTGGGGCGACAAGGCGTACAAGGAGGCCCAGAAGTACTGCAAGCCGAAGCTGATCTGGTCAGGTAAATCGGATAAGTACACCACAATCCCTTCTTTTGATACCCTAGAGCAGAGCTCGGGCGCCAAGTATTTGCATATATGCGCCAATGAGACGATTCACGGGGTTGAGTTCAAGGACTACCCAAACCCTAAAAATGGGATCTTGGTTGCCGACATGTCCTCCAATTTCTGCTCCAAGCCCGTCGATGTCTCCAAATTCGGGATCATCTACGCGGGTGCGCAGAAGAATGTGGGGCCATCTGGAGTCACCATTGTGATCATCAGGAAAGATCTGATTGGAAATGCTCAGGGGATTACCCCTGTAATGCTGGATTACAAGATCCACGCCGAGAACAATTCGCTGTACAACACGCCTCCCTGCTACGGGATCTACATGTGCGGGCTGGTGTTCGAGGATCTGGTGGCACAGGGCGGGCTGGAGGAAGTGGAGAAGAAGAACAAGAAGAAAGGGGAGTTGCTGTACAATGCGATCGAAGAGAGCAATGGTTTCTACAGGAACCCTGTCGAGAAGTCGGTGAGGTCGTTGATGAATGTGCCATTCACGATGGAGAAGTCTGAACTGGAGGCGGAGTTCATCAAGGAGGCTGTGAAGGAGAAGATGGTTCAGCTGAAGGGACACAGGTCGGTGGGAGGGATGAGGGCTAGCATCTACAATGCAATGCCGTATGAAGGTGTGGAGAAGTTGGTTGCTTTCATGAAGGACTTCCAGGCTAAGCATGCTTGATGAGATTGGCGTTTCTTACTTGAGAGGACAAAGAGGATTATTCTATTGGCATGGGTTTTTTTTGTTTTTGTTTTGTGTTGTTTCTGGTCGTCTTTCTAGCGTAGGGGTAATGTAACTGCTGCTGGTATCTATTGTTCTGTTTCTGGATTCCAAGCTTGGTTGTTGAGAATTGCATTTACTGGAGAATCAGCTCCATTACCAATTCTGATTGGATTTTGTAGACTCGTAGTAGGTGGATTTTGTGATTGTGTATCTTTTCTCCATCGTTCTATCTATGATTATGATTTATGAATATGTATTGAATTGGAGAAGTAATAAAGGGTTGGACCTTCCTTCTGCGAGCTGTGCTTTTTAGTACTCCACACTGTGGGGAGAGCAGAGGATGCTCTAGTGGTTTGCCATGAATATTCGATTTGGATGCTCTTATTTAGGTACGCTGAAGCATATGATTCATGGGAAGAGGCATCGTTATCCTCCACCAACCTCTATTGAAGAGTAAATGGGAATCATCTTGTGGGTTGTTACCTATCTCATCTGAATCTGGTGAGAACTACTGTTCTTGTATCATTGGCATTGTAGCTGTCTGAGCTGGGTCCAACTCGGAGTTCTAGCATCGACGGTTAGAACACAATGGTTGATATTGCAACTTATTTCCAATGATTTGGGCAGTCCTCGATCAACGAGGACTCGCATTCAGAGCCTCCCTGACACGAATGTGAGACCCTTCCTCGATACCGAACCTTGATATGGGAGCAGAGTCATCTTCCATAGTAGCACCCTTGCTACAAGTCATCATGAGAACAATCAAAGAACCTCATCTTCCTGCATATCTTGGCCTTCGACTCCCTCACCCTCACCTTCGTCGGCCCTGCAGGAGCTTCTCCTCCTCGATGAGTCTGGCGGGATCACGACCATGGACCACCACCACCTTGATGTGCTCTGGAGCAAGCACTAGCTGTGCTTCGACGTGAGTGGTGGTCTGGTCGGCAACAGTACTGAAACATAAGGTGATCATTTCGTCAGTAGCTAGTTTGACTTTAGTAGAAAGGGAATATTCTGAGAGAAATTTGGTGACCGTATTGTTAAGAACTAAAACATAAGTGACCACTTTGTCAGTGGCTAAAAGTTTAGCTTGCCATTGTCCATTGGAGGGTTTGAGCCCTCATTCCCCTGCGTCACCGTTGGCCAGATTGCCACGTTTCTGCCGCTTTCAAAGCAGAATAGAATAGCCGGCTTCGCTTCCCCATGCTTTGCAGAAATCTTGCCGTTTACTGCCCAATCCACTGAAGGGTCTTCTCGGCGCTACAGAATACGAAACGAGAAACTGTGTGGGATTGGAGACCGGAATTGGGAGGAGCAAGTGCCATAAACATGTCGAGTGTGAAGCTTTTCGATGCACACTGCCACCTCCAAGATCCCAGAGTCCTGAACAAAGCTCCCCAGCTCATAGCTACTGCACTCGACACTGGTGTTGCCCGCTTTGCAGTTAATGGAGTTTCCGAGGTCTGTATAGTGACAGAAACAGATAAATTAACATTTTTTTTTCCAATTGGGGTTCCTTTTTTTTCCAATTCCGGGAATCTGTGATTGATTATAATGGTGGCAGAACGATTGGAGCTTGGTGAAAGAGATGGGGGAGCGTTACCCTTCTGTTGTTCCTTGCTTTGGCCTTCATCCATGGTGAGTCTGTGAATCTCTAGCTTTCCACGTTAACTTATTCAAACTTCTGGGTTCTGTTCATTAGGTTGGAAGTGTGGAATCTCATTTTGGGTAGAGGAAGCTGAGGGAAACGAGCAATGTTCATTGCGTTGTTAAGGGACAAGATGAGCAAATTAACTTCTTTTGACCTCTCACGGTTTCTCTACAATTCACTGTGAAAAGTTGATCATGGTGTCTTTGATTTGATAAGAAATTCACCATTGAGGAAATTCTTTGCTCTATTCTGGAAGCCTTTTGAGTTACTGAAGTTGTGGTTGGTGGTTCTTGTGTTTCTGAGTTGATTTCTTCTGTTTCCTTGAGAACTTGGCGTTTGGAACTCGACTGAGTGTAACATTTTCTGCATGGTGAGATGAAAGAGGAAGCTGTATCTGACAAAATCGAATAAGATTTTTCTCTTTTCCAGTGTTAGGTGTCTAGCCAAAGTGCTTGGCACATTTCTTGCATTTAACAAATTGTCTTGAATGTACATTTGTACTGAAAACCAGCAACTTCAATTTTTTTGTATCTGATTGCAGGTTCATCAGGGAGAGGACTCCAAATTGGTTTAATACATTGAAAGAACTCTTTGAAGTCACTCCCTCAGCTGCAGTTGGAGAGGTTACCTCTCTAATTCCGTAGTCTACTCTTTTCAGTTTCACCCTTAAAAAATGTACAACATTCGTCTTTAACAAAATGTGGAACTGTATGAGCATATTGTCTTCCATAATTTGTGTACTTTCAACCTCGGGGATTTGGTATAATGACACATCAATCTATTTGTTTTTGCTCTCAGATTGGTATAGACAAGGGTTCACATGGGAAGACGATTGATTTTGCAGATCAGGTTTGTATCATGAGTTCCTGTTATCTTGCAACTCCGGTAGTTTAATTCTCCGTAATTAGGATTTGATAACTTCTTGTGGCCCCTTGCAGAAAGCCTCTGTGCTTTGGTTTCCGATGTAACCATTTTGTGATTATTCATTTTGATTCTGAAAATTTTCTTTAACAAAAATGCTACTCTATTTAGGTTTATGTATTCCAGAAACAGCTTCAGCTTGCGAAAGAACTGAACAAACCAGCATCCATTCACTGTGTTCGTGCCTTCGGTGATCTGCTTGAGATAATGAAGTATGCGAAAGGAAAATCTTCACTTTTTTTGTCATTATATTCTTCCCATACTCTTAACATATTACAATCATGTATATCGATATTTCCCAGAAATGTGGGGCCTTTTCCTGCTGGCGTTATCCTCCATTCCTACTTGGGTTCTGCTGAGATGGTTCCAGAACTTGCCAAGCTCGGTGCTTACTTTTCATTTTCTGGGTTTCTCATGTCCATGAAAACACAGAAGGCAAAGAGAATGCTAGCAGCGGTTAGTTCAGCTACGAAATTATCGTCTTTTTATTATTGTTAGTGCGGATATGATCGTCGCTACATCTTGGAACTTGCAGGTTCCTTCTGATAGGATTTTGTTGGAAACAGATGCACCAGATGCTACCCCAACTCTAAATGTAGACACTCTTTTTTCGGTTGATGGCAGAAGTCACTCCAAAGAAGAAAATCTCTCTACATCCGGTGGCCTCTCTGATGAAAATAATTCCAACTCTTCAAAAGAGGCGTCAAACCGGAAAGAAGAAACACTTAATCATCCAGCAAACATTCATCACGTATGCCGCTTGATAGAAATTTTACAACCAAGGGTTGGTTTGTCACCAAAAAATTGTGAAGCAGCTAACAAATCTGACGTCATTGCTGTTATAGGTACTCAATCACGTTGCATCACTGCTAGAGTTGAGTAAAGAAGAAGTCGCCGAGGCAAGTTACAGAAATGCAGTGCAGTTATTCGCGTACCAAGGCTCAAAGGTGCAATTCGAATGATACTCGAAGTTCAACCTACAGAAGTATACGTGCATCTCAACTGCTCAATACACGAGAATGAATAGTACCTAAGCTGGCGTCATGGCAGCATCAAGCATTGTGTGTATAAGAAAGACACCCCCCAATACTTTGTATAATGATGCGAGACAAAGAACCGTGTAACTTGTGAGTTATCAGAAGTCTCCCCTTTGGTACTTCATACGATGTTTTAATTAGTGCCTAAGTAACTTGGAAAGCAGAAAAAGAACCTACTTTTGGGACCTGGGTTCTTTCTTCCCCTTTATTTCCTTTTGAACTGATTCTTTTCTTTCATCCTAAGGTTGCACACTACTTCCTTATTTTTCTCCCTCCAACCCATGATATAAACGACATTCTGATTTGCAATCCCTTTTCCATATTTCTTTTTGGAACCATAGGAAAACAACCTCCTTTCTTCAGGGCTGAAATCTCATAGTTTTGTCTCTTCAGAGATCCCAGATGGGGAATAGCAACAGCAGGTTTTGTTGGTGTTTCTTCTTTGCTGTCATGCTTGTTTTGATGGCCAGTAATGGGTTCGGTGAAGCGCAAGAATTGTGCCGACAAGTGATGAAGACTGGGAATGGAAGCTGTGATCCTGAAACTTGCAACAGCCAGTGCGCGGCTGTGATGAGCCTTAGAGGGACAGGATCTTGCACTCAGACTTTCACAAATCGATTCACTTGCATTTGTACTTCACCTTGTTCTTGATTTCCTTGTACATTTTTCTTCCTCTCTGCGTCTGCCCTTCGTCCGGGTGTTCTGTTTTCCTAAGCCGCATTGAAGAACGAAATACCACTTGGCAAATGGCATTTTTCTTCCTCTCTGCGTCTGCCCTTCGTCCGGGTGAATGTAGACTCTGTATATCCCATGCATGTCCATGAACTTGTACTATTCAAGTTTCGAGATTCAGTCGTTTAATGTTTTTGCCATTTCATGAATGCAACCGCTAACCATTTGGACTACTTGCTCATCACGATTCACGAATATGACTTCTTCCTAGATAGATGGATGTATTCATGTTGAACAATAGACTTCAAAAGCAATCAATTTTCAACCAGATTGCAGGAGGGAAGTTAGAAACCAAGAACAGGAAGCAGACCAAGTTGGTTGGGATTGTGCTTCTGCATGACGCATAGTTGAAAATCAGACAAGATCCTAAGAAAGCGGCTAACAAAATTAGCGGTTATGATGACTCTTGATGACACAGGCCACCAAATGTTTATTAACTTGGCGGAAGCACAAAATGCAGTCTCCTTTCTCTCTGTGTAACAATAAATACAAATTTGTCTCCTCTATGCATACAGTTGAATCAGTAAGATTACAATGCGTGCAAATCTCAGCTATCAATCTCAAATGGCTGTACTGCTGAGTTCTACCCTTCTTGCCTATAAAGTCTGCCAATTCCATGCAACTAGTTTTAGTTGAGGGTCTTTATCTCTCTGAAAAAATTTCACTGCTACACTCAAGTTCTGAAATTTCAATGCTCCCATTGGATCTGTCCTAACCTCTGCATTAAATCAGTTTGTTGACTCCCTCGCTCTCTGGTCTGCTACTGCTACTCCTTATATACCGAGGACTTCGCTGTGCCTATCCTGCATTCCCCCACTAGCAAGCTATCTCTCTCCCCCCTACAGAAATGGGAAAGCTTGACAATTGCTGTGGCAATGGCAAGCAATCAGTTCTCTGCATTTGTCTCCTCCTCTCAGGTTCGCGTCAAATCATCTTCTTTCAAATGAAAAAAGTTATCACAACACACTTGTTCGTCACATGTTTCAATTGTTTCATTCATTTGCAGTTGGATTGCTAGCTGTGGTGCCGAGGGATGCAGAAGGATACATTGGAGCGTGCACGAAAGAGCTGAATCCAGACAGTTGCATAGTGCCAGCATGCCAGGCAGAGTGCTTCACAAGTCACAAGGGGTGGGGACACTGTGCACATTCGTCGCTCGATGGTATCTTCCACTGCGTTTGCTACTACCCTTGCCCTCACGATCCCTGAAGATTCTCTCTTTGTCATCCCTCTCAGCGTTACTTATGATGACTGTGAACATCATCTCACTAAGAACTAAATAAATCAAACAATAAAGATATGAACTTGGCAGGATCTCCCTTTGTTTTTCCTCCTTTCATATGAATGGTCTTTTGCTGATGAACTAGTTTGTTCTGATCCTATCAAGAACTGAGAAAAACAGAAATCAAACTGGAAGCCCACATACAATTTACAAACACTAAGATCACAGGACTCGAGAAAGATTCGTCCGAACAAACTAGGCTAGTTTAAGATCTTTAACATGGATTTGCAGTCAGACTCGGATTTATCTTCGATTCTAATGCGAAAGCAGTTTTCTTGGGGGAGCCGTAATGTGTTCTGCTGTGGGTGGAGAAGTGAAAGGTGAAACTGGGGGCTGGTTGCAATAATAAGAGCAGCTGCAGTAGCTTGCGCCTTTGCACTTCCCCACGCCCCATTGTGTTTGTTTAGAACACTGTTGGCTGCATTTCTTGTGCTCACACACCTTCATCTCTAGCCGCCTATGGCATGTATGCTCCGGGATCCTCACACCATTGCGACGGCTGGTGATCCACAGCCGATTGGCAGTTCCGGAGGTCTGTCCATCTTCTGCAGCTGTCACTAAACACACACCAACAAATTGAGGGTGAGTGAAGTTGTTTCAAAATCATTTAATACGGGAAGGCGACAGAGCAGAAGAGCCAACCTGAGAGTATTATCAGCAGGATGAGAAGAGAGCTAGTCACAGCAGAGGAAACCTCCATCTTTGTTTCCAGAAGCAATAGATTGAACTGAGCTTGGATTGTGGCTTACTTTCCTCTCCAGACGTTTTTATGACATGCTCAAGCACGCGATACTGCAAAGGGTAAAAGCTTGAAGTATAACTTGTCCGTTAGCTAGGGTATAGTAAGGTGTGAATTACGTGTCTCTGTCACCTCCCTATTCCAAGCATGACTTCTGTATATGTTCATAGATTGTTAAACAATACAGAGGAAAGAGTAAGGGTGAACAACAATTCGGTTCGTCAGAACAATTCGGTTTGATACCAAATAAAAATCCGTTTTTCTGATTCGATTTCAAGCTTCATTTTACTTCATTCATTTTCCATGCAACCCCTACAATGGAAGATTGAACCATTCCACCGTAGTACAGAGGGATCAAGGCAAGAGGGAAATAGCAGCTTTTACGAACCCTAAAAGATGGTTTCACATAGGCATTATAGGGAACATATAAAATTGTAGCCAACTCCACGCCATGAACCGAATGGGCACTAAAATATGATGCAAATGAAGAATCCAATGAAGCACATATAACTTCTGTAAATCAAAATCTCGCTCAGACATTATCGACCAAAGTATCATCCAAAACTGAAACAAGTTAAAACAGACTGCATAAATTTAAGAGAGGCTCTCAAGCAGTGCATTGAAGTTTCAGATTGCAAAAACCCAAACAACAAAGAGCCAAAACACGAAAAAGGGCCCTAGGGAACAACTGAATCTAATATCCGCCCTTAAGATCGTTGGTGACATCGTAGGGAATAGGAGTAACGGTTTCCAGAGTTGCACCCTCCACCATGAAGCCAGGTTTAGGGCCCTCGGGCTGTCTCTTGGTGCTGATAACTTCACCTCTGGCCTTTGCTGCAGCCTTCAATTCGTCATTCTTCTTCTTCCTGAGGCGGAGTTCCTCAGTGCACCTTGATGGAATCACATGCTCAATCCTAACATGGATCCTCTTCCTGATGATCCTGCCTCCAACCTAAACGATAAGAGCACATAGTCAGGCTCTCAACCATTAGCATATTAGAGCTATGAACAAAATGTCTTCCAATTAAAAGAGAAAAGCCAGTATGAACATGATTTACAGTACAATAGCACAAACATTAAAGATGGAGCATTCCAAGTGAACGAATGCAAGTCTAGCAATACCCCCATTTTCATACTCAAAGATCAAGAGATGAATTTACAATCATTGAAGGAACTATCATCTCCTATAGTCTCGTCTGATACAATAGAAGACACAAAACGTCCTCACTCAATTGAGAAACCTCAACCCCCAACAAGCTTGAAGGATACAAAACAAAATATTTCACTGTAGAAAGAACATAAACAATATCCACACCTGAGCAAGTTAGTTCCTTTATTACAGTCATTCTCGCATCCACGTAACACACATCAAATACCTAATCGAGCGACGTCTCAATAGCTCATGGACAAAACCCTAGAAGATGAGAAATCTTGATCGCAAGAAAAACCCTACAAATAAGCCAACCAAACACGAACAGCCCAGAAAGAAATCCCTTGAACTACCGACATTTCTCAGATAAACACAAGCACAATAGCAATCAAAGAGCAATCAGAACTGTTACGAGTAGATACGAGTATAAATCGTGTTACCTGCTTGTTCATCTCCACGCCGACGGCGCGCTTGGTGACGTTCCAGACGCGACCGGTGCGGCCGTGGTAGAACTTATGGGGCATACCCTTGTGGACGGCGCCATTGACCTTGACATCGACGTAGTCACCGACCTTGAAGGTACGAAGGTAAGTGGTCAGGGGGATGTAACCCCTCTTCCTGAAGGGCCTGGAGAAGGAATCTCGAGTGCGAGAACGAAGACCATGGCCAGCCGGCATCTTTCCTAACTCGCTCGCGTCTTACCTTGGCGGAGGAGCTCTGTAGCTTCTGGTTTTCCTCTCAACACTGAGTGGCGCTGGCCTCTGGGAAAGATGAATCGGAAAGAGGGATGCGAAATATAAAAACCCTAATTTTCGGGTTAGGGTTTTGTTTGGGTCGGCTTCAGCCCTACTGGGCCTGCCCGCTTCCTTTCCAACACGTTTTTGGGCCGAAAGTGGTTGTTCTGTACCTGTTAATTTTATTATTATGTCCAACAATTTCATATTGGGCCTGACAATAACAAATGACGAGATCGAATGGATTTGATCATGCGCGAAGGAAGGTACGACATTCTCGTCAAGATTAATCTAGATGGAAAATCATCCAAACGCTTGTTTCCAACTTAGACGAACCCATCCATTGTTGCAATTTTAACTACACGACTATGTTTAGGGAAAGTTATTTCACAACTGGCTTCTAGGGAGTAAACGACTTTTATAAATGGTAGAGCTTATACTATACAACTCTAATCATTTCTAAATGAATATGTCCACAATCCTTCGAGGACGTCCGATAAAATTGGAATGAAGTTGTCTGCCGCATTAAACATAGATCAAAATGTTGATAATAAGACATAATGGTCAAACATAACATAAGAAAAGTATATAATCTTATCGATTGACAACACTTCGATGTACTTTAGAGGGGATGGCTTTACATGAACTAGAGTTTTTGGTGGAAGGAGTATGTCAAACTATTGAATTGGAATAAATCTTGTTTATTGAATTGGAAGAGAAAAGCTTTGGTACACAAAATAAAAGTGTAACATTCCGAATCTTTTTCTGACAAGCAGTGGTAAGAGCGTTGAAATTCCAAGCTCAATTGCCTATAGTATTTTGGTCACACTGTGTCGAACGTGAAGTTGTCCTCGTCAATAAAACTCCATCTGTTGTCCTTAACAACCTGTCACCATATGAAGTTTTTCACCACAAACCCCTAGACTTTGAGTTTTTTGAAGGTGTTTGACGGTCTTTGCTTTGCTTTTACTTTGTCAAGTACTAGAACCAAGTTCATATCTAGAGTCCATAAATGCATTTTTGTAGGCTACACATCTGAAATCAGGGGATACAAACTTTATGACCTTGAAAATCATTAAGTTTTTCATTTTAGAGATGTGATCTTCCATGAGTCTATCTTTCATTTCTCAATGACTTCGAATTCTTCTTCTAGAAGCATTGACAATGATAGTACTCCTTACATTACAGTCATGACTGATTCTAATGGTCCTCCTGAGACTCCACCATCCACTATCTACCTTCTAGTCCTTACCCTCTTCCTCCTCTAGTTCTTGGTAGTACTTTTATTTTTAGGGGTCGTTTGGAAGTTGGGAGTCTATGAATATGTGTATTCTTACAATGTATGTATTCTAAGTGTAGTAATTATAAGAAATAGATGATTGTAAGAATATGTTGTTTGTTAGTTGTGATTCTCACTTTTAAAGAATATAAGGATTCTCACTTTAATGACCAAAAAGACTTATATAACCTTTAAGTTCTCTTTATATAGTCAATTAAAGAAGGGGCAAATATGAAATATATAAAAAAATAAGGATAAGAGGTTCAAAAAAGCAATTACAAAATTAAAGCAAGAGAATCTCACATTTTTGTAGAGATTCTAAAATGAATGATTCTAGCCATTTGAGATTCTAAAGTACCAATCAAATGCATGCATTCTGGATAAGTTTATGTCAAAAGAACGATAGATTGTAAAGAATACACACATTCACAGAATCACTCATTTAGACTCCTAACTTCCAAACGACCCCTTAGAGACTAAGTTGGAAGTCAAACACAAGCTGCCTCCCATTAAGTACTCTTTCTTCTACACATTTAAACTAGACATAACCTTGCCTATCCGTATGACTGCACCTTGTATTTCACCTTAATGAGCAAATTACAAAACCAATTGAAGTCTTCAGAAATTATATACTCGAGCTCCTCAATTTGATCAAGTTAGAGTCTTTTCGTATGTTTTCCCATGAGATCGAGCTATAGACTCGAGTTTTTCTTTAGGAACTCATGTTGTGAAAATTTGTATATCCCAGGCATCAAATACCAGAGTCAAGTAAAAAAAAAAAAAAGAATCAAATTCCTAGTATTCTTCAATATCGAACTAAGGGGTTATTTGGAAGTTGCGATTGTTAAATAGATGTATTGTTGTGAATGCATATATAATATTGTAGATGTATTGTCGAATTTGATGTATTGTAAAATACAACGCTCGATATGTGTGGTTGTGTATGTCACATCATCTAAAAGATGAGATAAAACAATATCAACAATCACAGCTAAAAGGTGAGATATAACAATCACTCATTTTGAGTGATAGTTTTTGTCACATCACAGAAACAATCCATGTATTGTTTATGCTAAAAAATTGAAAAAACGATGTATTCTAAACAATACGTGTATAGTAATAATCTCAATAAAATAATCGCAACTTCCAAACGACCGAAGTGAATGGTTTGAAATCCGGTCCAAGCTCCATAGCCTGGGTATAGTTTAGGGGTGGGCATCGGTTCGGTTCGGTCGAAACCGAACCGAAAATGAGCATACCGGGTTCCCCGATCTCTCTACATGTGAAATCGAACTCGAACCGAAATATAAATCGGTTCGGTTTGGCCGAACCGAGTTATATTTCGGTTCGGTTCGGGATCCCGACAAAACCGAAGTTCCGCTACCTTCCCCTGCCTTCTAGAGACATCATCTTCCCCACTTCCCTTTCAATCATTCGTCCTCTTCTTTCACCCTCTGCTACTCTCTCTCTCTCTTCCAAACAAAGATTCATCTCTCTCCCTCCCACCAAACTTTCTCCCAAACAACATTCATCATCTTCTTTCATCCTTCCCTCTGCTACTCTCTCTCCCTCCCACAAAACTATCTCCCAAACAAAATCTTATACTAAATAAAAATCAATTTTCAAAGAAGAGGTAGAGATCTCAAAGATTGAGAACGAAGGGAGAAGGGTAGATCTGATTTCTCTGTTCACGTCCCCCCGACCTTGAGTAAGGCGTCGCCGCTATCCCGCCACCGATGAGTCTAGTGAAGAGTGGTGGATTTCTTCGTTGGTGCGGGACTGCGGGTCGCGGTGCGAAGGCGGGGCTGGGTGCGAGTTGCGGCGACAGCAGTGACGTCGAACGTCGGGTTGTGGCGAGGAGGTGGAGCTGGGTGCATCTTCTTCGACTTTTCCGCCGCCGATCTACATCATGAGAGGCTTTGTCTTTCTTTCTTCTTCCCAGTTCCACTGGTTGTTGGAAAATGGAAATGAGATAGGGTTGGGAGGTAATGGGCTTCGGCCTTCGTGGGAGACAGGGGGCTTTGGTAGGGATTTTTAGTGGGCTTCTTTGGCCATTGTGGGCCTGAGGGAAGGGTGGGCTCATTTGGTTGTGAGTGTAAGGGGGAGAGTATGGGCTTGGGGTAGGCAGATTTTATAATTCGATTTATCGGTTCGAAATTCGGATGTTCGGTTCGGTCGACACGATCCTGGGTTCCGAATTAAGCCCATTTCCCTTCCGAATTCCGAACCAAAAAATGTTTCGGTCGATTTCGGTGGGTTTCGGTCCGGTTTGGATCGGTTCGGAAAAGTGAACCCGAACCGGATGCCCACCCCTAGTATAGTTAGTTAATGATCTGAAACCCATGGGCCTAGTAAATCTCAGAAGTCATAACTCGCTTACACAAAGCCCGGGCCGAGCCCGAGCCCAAACATAAGATTGCGTGGGCAAAGCGTCGGCCGCGCGCAAGTCGCCAAGTATCTGCTTTCCCATCTCCCCGTCACTTCCGCAAAACGCAAAGCAAAGCCGAGCAAATAAGCAGCACCGAAAGGAAGCGCCGCCGCTGCCGGAGATGGGAACCCGAGAGGTTTACGAGGAGAAACTACGTAACGGGAACCTGCATCACGATCCCACCATCAACCCTGGCCTCGGCACCCCACGCTGCCCTCGCTGCCTCTCCCTTCTTGACGCCGATTCCGATAAGGGCGAATGGACCATCACCTCCGTTTTGCACGACGCCACCGCCGTGGTTAGTTTCTCCGACAGTCCCTCATTCTTAGTTCTTAGAACTGCTTGGCACCGGTGTTGGAAAAAAGGATGAGTAGTTCTATTGTCGATTTGGTTGATTATGTGGAGTTTTCGGCGTGAATTGGTGTATACTCTGGTGAATTCAGCTAGGTTCGAATTGGTTGATTGCTTGTTGGTGATCCTTGGAACGCATTTCTGATAATCCTACTAAATTAGACAAACTCTTGTGGATCGTTGGTTTTTTAATCGCTAATGGATCGAATTCTCGCTGCAATTGCGATCATGAGAGCTGTGTTTCCCCCTGTCTCTGACAATTGAGATGGTTGGCGAATTAGATTGTAATCTTTGTGATTAATAGATACGTGGTAGTGATTTTTCTGGTAGGAGTCACTAATTGGAGTTGTGATTTACTGTAAAATTAGGCTGGGTCTGGCATTGGTGCGATGCTTAGTGCAGTGCATGGTCTTAATACAGGTACTGTTTATTTAAGCTGGTTTCATTTCTTTATCTTTGGGACTCTATGTCAACTGTCGTGTTATTTCAGGGATCCCATTCCTCCAGAATCGTCTGAAGGGGCCCAAGTGGCTTCCGTTCGTAGTTGGGGTTGGTGTTTTATCCTGATCCTTGTATTCTTTGAACTTCTCTTTCATTTTGGTGGCATGCCGGCAGGGTTTCCGTCTTGTATATGGTATTGAAATTTGCAAACATTCTCATTTTCGTCTTCTCCTTGCTTTACTTGCAGGTTCCTCCACTGCTAATGTACTCTGGCGCATCTGCTGCTTTTGGAGGTACAGGATCAAACCTCTTTAACTTAAGTTTTCATTGTTTATGTAGCATTCCTTAATTTGACCCTAAAAGGTATCTATATCCACCCTCGACTGCTCAGATCCCTTTTTGGCGATGGCCATTAATCGGGAAGTTCTCCTAGTTTCTTATTGAGATGAACGTTTTTTTCATTCGCTATGATTTCTAGGCACCACCATCTACCAAGACTACTTGAACTTCCGCTCTCCTATTTTGTAGCAGATTTCTATTCTGAGTGTGCCCAATCTGCTAGGAAGCCATTTCATCTCCCATAGTGTAAAATTTGCCCCATTTTCTGTGTTTGGGTTTGAGAGAGGAGGGCTTGGGTATGATGGTCGCTGGAAGGACGGCAGGTTGCTTTGATGACTGATAGTAGCATCAGTTATGCTGGCTGGATTTTGTAATATCATATCTGGTTTTGGAGCCTTGTATGCTATTTAGTACACCCTTGCACGGGTTTATCATTTCATTGGATTTTTTTCAATCACTTGTTTGCACATTGTTTCTTTATACTGTGTGACTTTGAATGCTCCCAACTTTGACGGTCAATCTGATCCCATTATTAGCTGTAGTTCTTCGACCCATCAAAATATCCATGGTTGCAATGAACATCGCGTGGGTTGGTGATTATGCATAATTGCAAGGACCACTTTTGGTGACATTTTTTTGTAACTGTGGATGTTTCTGTGCATCTGTGTGAAAGTTTGCAGAAATCTTTTCATTTTTGAAATTTAAGCTTGCTTTCGGTGGACACAGATTGGCTTTCTACATATTCTGGCTGTTCGCGTTTAATGTTGTGGCTTCCATTTTTTCCGTTGTAGATGAGAATGCCAAGCATATCCTTCCATTATTAGGAGTAATCAATTGACTGATGTGCATCTTCAATTGTCTCCAAGCATATCCTTCCATTAGTAGGAGTAATCAATTGACTGATGTGCATCTTCAAACTTTATGTTCAAATTTTCTGATATTTCGATTCTAGTAGGAGTAATCAATTGACTGATGTGCATCTTCAAACTTTATGTTCAAATTTTCTGATATTTCAATTCTTGGAGGACCTCCATTTATTTGAGGACTTACTTTGTAGGCTATGTGCTTCCAAAGTTCACTCAACTCACAGTGACATCCTACTATGCTGCATCAAGTGCGTCACATTATGGGATTTCACTGCTCACAAGGAAAATTGAGGAGGGCCACATTTCAAGAGTCGAGCAAGAAAAGTGCTGATGATTCTGGAGCCCCCACACATAATGAGATGACACTTCTCGATTCTTCAGTTTTTAACTAGATTTGTATGTGTAGGACTTGGTGCATGAACTTTAGGTGGATTCTATCACCTGGCAATTTCTTTTTTCATAAGGAATATTTTGATTCAGATGGCAATGGTTGGCGTACATGCAGTGTCTACAGTAGCTACCTGAAATCCCTATAGTTTTGAGAGGAGTGAAAGTTAGCCTAGAGCTGCTGCTAATTAAACTATCTGAACTTTGTAAGATTGACATTCAATGTTTTGCTTGCAGTTTCGATGGTTTTTTTTCTCCGTATAACTAGTTAGCAAAGATTAACAGCTTGGTGGTGGCATTTGCATAATGTGCTGGTACATTTGATCTTAAAGTACTCTATTAGCGCTCTTAACTGCTAACATGGTGTTCCCCTGCTGGTTAGATGCTCCACCAAAGATGTGCCTTTGGCTTGTGGGTCCCTGCCACTCAATTACTGTGGAGTAGTCAATGCGTATGCACATATAGGCAATGTAAGTATTCATTTTCCTCAGCATTTGTCCCCAATAGGACAGTTTAAAGTCAGCACCGATGGACGTGAGACATTAGTCTTTACTCTGTTTACTGTGTTCCTCATAGTAACGAATTAGTGGAAGTGAGATAGGGGTAAAATATGTCCACATATTGCTGAGGTTAGCGTGGGTCTTGCTGATGTTTAAGAATGGGAACTACCTTCAAGCTGCATTATTGTTATTTCCTTTATCTAGATTCCATGCTGGATCTTGTCATGTACTTATGTGGGCAGAACATCAGGTGGCTGAGACCCCAGAGGAGAAGTGGGTTAGCTGTGACAGTTGATAGTGAGTTGCCAATCCAATTCAAAATGGTGAAAAAAGTTGGCGAAAACTTATTGGGATACAGTAAGGAATCCTCTGTTTTGCTGATATTTATTTGTGCAAGTTGCTAGACAGAATTTATTGAGGGAACCAGAAAGATACAGCAGAGTAGTAGACATCCTAGTGGTTAATGTGTAATGGCAAGCATCCAGACCAGAAACTATGGATGATCTGACTATATATGCCGAGTCTGGTTGCATTTATGTGTGTAGCTGATTGCTGCTATAACCCCTCCACACTAGTTCAAGCCACCGAGCCAGCCAATAGATTACGTTGTAGTTAAGGAATTTTGAGGAATGGGCGAAAGCAGAAGGCCTTCCTTTCTGGCTGGCTGGCTGAGAAGGCTTTGCTTTTTGTTCCAGATTTGGAGCCTAGCTTTAACAGCAACAGCTACTAGGTGCAGCTTAGCGAAAGTATGGCTGAGCAGCTACTGTATAAACTGTCAACCTCGTTGAGCAACTTTATAGGGTCGTGGGCCGCTGTCTCTTAAATCCCACTGCGCTTTCTTTTTCTCTTATGTTAGAGAGTATACATTTGTGGACATATGTAATGTAACTGCAGGCCAAAGCTGGAGAGAGACCGCTGACGAAGGGGGGGATGTGAGAGATACAAACAACTGATGAAAGTGGAAGTGGTCCTAGAATTATACATAATGGTAATGTACTCTTTTTGCCCACTTTCTATTCCTTCTTCATCTCTCAAAACTCTTTTATTGTGTCTCTTTATAGCATCTTCCTCCCATCACATGCCTCGTCCCTCTCTTTCCTTTCTCTGGTGATATATGGCATTTTACTTGTGGACCCCTAGATAGTTGGGGGCGTGGGGACAGGTTGATTGATTTTAACTGAGCTTCTTTCATCCCTTTCCCTCTGGGGGGTGCCCTTAGCTTTGAGGGCAGTCCATTTCAGTTTTTACTGAAGTGTTCAACTGGGTTGTGTTTGAGAGGGATAGAAATGTCTGCTTGTGAAGGTATTTTTGTAGGTGTTGGGTGGTGCCAAACTCCCCTTTCATTTTGTTTAACCCAGTAAAGGAAAAGCAAAAATCTGGGTGTGTGTGGCTAGTAGGAATTTGAAGTGGGGTGGATTTTTTTGGTTAGAAGTTGTCGCTATACCAATGTCCCAAAAAAAGCATTCACACCATCATCACCATCGATGTCTGTACAAAAATCTTCATAAATGCTTTATTCTTATTATTGCCCTTTTGATGCTTGCAACCACACAATGAAAGAAAGGCGGGTGGGGTGATGGTTGTAAGCTACTTCTTTTAACATGCCTTTCTTCTGCCATTCCCCTTAACTATTGGGGGTCCTGCTGTTTCCAGACTCAGCAATTTACTGTCCTTCCTTTTTATCATCATACTTATACACATTTCTTGTCTTTTAACTTCTCTCTGTTTTCAAACTTTTTGGCACTCAGTTCTATCATGCACTTAGGGTAAAATTTTCAGAATAGTGACAGTGCATTAGGGGGCCGTAAATTTTTTGGTACTTTGTGCAACAGTTGTAGATTGAATGCAGTAGATTAGGAGGATAGATACCAGAGCCTTATACGTGGAAACAGACTGACCACCTCCCCTTCCCCCCTTTAGCTTCTCTCTCTTTCTCCCATTTATGGCATATCTAGGCACAATCACTGGAACAAGAGTTTTCTCAATCCAGTTTGACAACAAACTTCCCCCCTCCCATCCACCTTGATCATGATTGTTGATAGACTCCGTTAACTTCATCATCAATAATACATATTAATGGATGATTGCTTGCTATGAGGGTATGACTGTGACTGCATTTTACATGGATAGTTTGATCAAATCACCACATTATTTATGAAGACAAGGAATTTCTCTAGATGGGATCCTTGTAGGGTTTACTGTAAATGGAAATGTGGTGGTTTAAAATGCCCTTCAAACACACTGTTTGCTGATAGATTTTTTGTCTGTATTTAATGAAGTTTAGCTGGCTGGCTGTCCACATTTTGCAACCCCTTCCCTTATCTTTTGCTTCATTAATGACTAATCTCTTGTGTTGTATTACTTCGGTTTGGTTTGAGTTAAGATGGTACTTAGACTTAGCTGGCTTAGCCTTGCTGTCAGTATTGTGGTTTAGCTAATTATATCGTGTTAGTGTGATTAACAAGTTAAATTAGTTAGACTTACCCATCTGTGTCTGGCCTTTTCCCATCCTTGCTACACATTTTGAGGAAATTGTTTAGGAATTGGGGCATACTTGAGAAGCTCAGAGAAGCAACACTTCAGCTTGGAAAAGAACACCAACCTCACTCTTCGCAGCCTCTGCTTCTGAGTCAGGTACGATGGTGAAGCCGTGAAGCTAAAGCTTTCGTTTTTTCGTTTTGTGCTCTATTTTGGATGCTACAATGTGAAGTCTATTACTAAATTGTTTTAGAGAAAAAAAATAATGACAGGCACTAAAATGGTTCCTGTAACAGACTATTTCATGTTATGAACATAGATTAACATTTTCTCTTCCCTACCATGGGCGTGACCTAATGGTAAAGGTATCGATTTTGATTGCGAGACCTCTTGTTCAAATCCTCCGCCGCATCATCATGGAGAATACCTTATATTTAGAGTATCTGTGAGATTATAACACCTTGAATCACTTGCCTTCATGGTTGAGCTGGTGATTAGGTTTATCCTAGTTTCGACAAATGATCCCTTGTCATTTTCTTTTCTGCATTTTTGGAATCTACATCTTTATCGATATTTGTTCGTGCATGAAAAAAAAAAAACAGTTGGTGCGAGAATGAATTTGAACTTGTAACGTTATTTCGAACAAATCGAACACCTTAACCAGCAAGGCTACAACTTTGTTGGCCTTTGGTGTTATGTTTGTTTGTACCTCATTGAATTGACATGGTCTAGTTACTAAATGTAGTTACAAGCGAAAAGTTAAAAATGTAGCCTTCCAATCCGATTCTTCTTAATTGCTCAAACTCTCATATATGGTCCTTCTACTTCTTTCTCACTGCTTTTTTTATGCTATCTTTCTTTCTTATTCACCCATCTCTATCTTCTACAGCTAATTTACACTGAGAACTAACCCCACCTTTGCTGCGGCTATCAGCTGGTCATCTATGATCTCTCTCCATCGCAAGCCAGAGTACTGAGAGACCTTACATTTTGAACCCAACACGCAGGAAAACTTGAAGCCATAAAAGAGAAGACCAGAGTACTTTGGCAAAGTGAAATCAATAGGAAGAGTCAGTGGGACTGTGTGAACCACTCCTTGTTGGTTCATATATGTTACTTAAAGTGCCATGGCCTCACTGGTAGGACACATCTATTTTTCCCCCCTTGGTTGGTTGGTTTTACTATTTATATGTAAACCCCCATCATTATGTATATGCTTCTCCCACCAAATGAAACCAAAGAAAATAAACTATTCTACTTTGTTAGCTTGGATCTTCATTTTTATTGACTGAGTTGAACTACAGGAGTATTCAACTTTGTAGGTTTGCCAAACAAGTTTTTGATAGCAGCTCGAAGGAATGACAGATGAATCGACTCATTGAGTAATTTGACTCAATTATCTATATGAATATTGGGTTGGATCTATATAGACCCAAATGCAATTTTAATAGTTTTAGTGGCTTTGTAATATTTCTAATTTGGGTCGGACCTGAATGAGTTTATTTGAGTTCAAATGCTCGTCCACAAAAATAATAATGATCATCCCACTAACTATGTTCAAAATCAAAGAAAAATGCAAAACTTGTATTAGAATTGAGTATCGAATATAATGGATCTAATTTAGATCAAAACTAAAGAACACCCATAATGAAATGAGTTTGAACAATACTTGGTTTCTTTTACCATCCATATATGTGATTAAACCCTCTTAATACATATATACGTACCATATATAATTACAACAAACAATCTTGGTGCATGAATGAAGCAATCTAAATACATAAAAAAAATGTGTTGTTGAGTCCTTCAGATATGTGCATCCATTTGCACAGAGTACGCACGTAGTTCCATCTACAGACGGACCACACAGTTAGTGAGTGGAGTCACAAAGGCATGGCCATGTGGAATATATTTGCACAGTACTACTCGTAATTAGTTAGAAAAAATTGGACAAAAACATACATTAAATTCATGACCCTCTGTTTCTACTTTCGAGTGCCACCCTCGTGGCCGCAGTTAGGGTAGGTCCACTATATATATATATATATATATATGGTTGCGCTTTGTTTGCTACACTGGTGCATGAAATCGTATCGGAGATATCGTATCGGAAAAGTCAGTGATATAGTATTTTATGGTAAAATCGTGGTTTAGCCGTAGTTCAACAGTTAATATCGTTAAATGCTGCCTACCGATTTAACCTCCGATACTGGTATTTCGTGGTTGAACCGCCGATACGGTACAGTTTCATGGACCGCATGGGCCTACACATCCCTTTTGTATATATTGAACGTGTTTGCTTTCTAAAATGGTTTGTTTGTTTGTTTATAATTTGGATTTCATTTGTTGGGGTTAACAGCGGCGGATCTAGGGGGCCGCCCGGGCCACGGCCCAGCCCTCTCTCGATCCGTAGCTAGTATAGCACGTGTAAATTTTCGATTTTTGGTGTTCGTTTCGGTGTTCGTTTCAGTATTCGTCGTATTACGGCCCAGCCTTCTCTGCTTTTTTCCAATGTGGCCCAGTGCTCTACCCAATCCTGGATCCGCCGCTGGGGGTTAATGATTGAGTAAACTATAATATAGCTAAGGCTGCTGCTTCGACGGGACCTCTCGCCTTTTACATCAACTCATCGGTTGCGGCTCCTGTTTCCTTGACAACATGTTGAGCATAGATGTGGCATGCATGGTTTAAACGTTTGATATAAGCGCACCCAAACAAAGGACGTTTTGTTGGACTATGCCCCGGAAAGGAACTTGGATAGATGATATTATGTATGCTTCAATTTGTTGGAAAGTATTATCGAATATTTTAGTTTCTAAATTTTACATATATTTCAAATTTGGCGAGAATAGAGGGGAGGGTAGCTCTCCTCCAAGCTTCAACCTAGCTCCACCATCGCGGAGAGAGTGATTCCTAAGGACAATCCATAGTTCATGATTAGTTATTATCAAGCCAATCGAGTTTGCAAGCAATTATTATGTGCTCAAGTTTATCTTGTGACATGTGCGCTCAGGGAGGATGTTTGCCGTATACAAATTCGACAAGCGTAGTACATAACCTTATCGACATGATCACTGAATTTACGTTATTGCTTCTTCATTCTCTAACATGCACATTTGATATCTTCTTCAATGTAAACAGAATGTTCCGTTCGATTCGGTTGTGCATAAGAGAGTAGGGGCGGAGGTAGAGTTAAATTGGGTGGGTCGGTCCCAGCTAGGGATGACAATTTTGACCTGATTCGTTTTACCCGACTTGCTTGGCTTGTTTTGGGGCGGACATGGATACTCTCATCACCCGACCTGTCCTAACACGCCCCCCAGTCTCGACCCGTTCTTGCCTAAATTACATGAAATCTTAGTCTAATTATTTAGGATTTTTTTTATATTACATCATGTGTTAGCTATAATAAAGTTCTAAATGAGTGAAAATCTCAATTTCTCTGATAATTTAACTACATTTATCATATCATGGTTTGTTTCTAGGTCTTATAATGAGAATAACGAATATTTCTAATATTTTTCATATAGATTACTGATTACATACCCATTTGATCGACCTACCCCAACCCTTGCCCCAAAATAAATTACCCAACCTTCCAAGGGATGGGTATTGATATCTAGATACCCGTCCCAGACCTCCCCGTTGCCATTCCTAGTCCCCACCAACCCTAAAAAATCGAGAGTAGTTGTAAACTGTCTCAATGCAATATCATTAGATAGAGATAAGTTTCACACATGTTTGCTTGTGGGCTATAATAAATTTTGAAGTTCATATTTACCTGTTATATATTCCATATATACAAAACTAAATTTTACATAAACAAACAATAACATAAACCTATCTCTAACGGTTAATTCCAAATTCTAAACAATTAACTTATTCCCCGCTTCTCCTTCCTCTCGAGCGAAAATCTGCCGACAAACTCGCACGCATTCATCTAGGTACACAACCCGCAGAATCTCGAATCTATCCTGAGTGAAATCCTGACGCTGAGTGTAAATGTTTTTTTTATTTTTTCTAACTTCTAAGTATATACAAAATAAGAATACTGAATTTTATTAGAGATATAATACACGATAAAATACATAAATTCAGATTTGAACCATGAGGTAGTTGGAATTGGGGCACGAGGGCCTCAACTTTGCACAAGGTGGAAGTATGGGAATTTATTATACGTACATTTATACGTATGCATGGGGCTTTTCTTTGCCGTCGTTGATACGAATATCTGTATTGCATTTTAATTTATACACATGCATGCGTACAGTACAGTACAGAAGAGGTATAAACAATTAATAGGAATGTCGGGCTCACAAATCCTTCGTCATTATTTCTTCTGGCAACTACTAATAAAATAATATTTTCTATTAAATCCTTATCCCTCCCTCTCTGACTCTTGCCCATAACCCCAACAATATATATATAAAATAGATTAATCTATACGTTGTTTGTCCTGTCTCCACATTCACGTACATAATTCATTTAATTCTTCGTGTACGTGCTTCGTCTAAAAAAAATAATAATAATAATAATAACAACATTTCTACGTGTATGTGTACGTTAGAGTTCATTCTTCTACAGTGTTCGATTCATGCACACTCCAGTTTCAACATATCTGTTTCTGTACCACATTGTTATTTTCTGTATATTTTGTTTTCCAGCACACGTGTGTACAAAAATTCTGATGCTCGATTATGTTTCAATCCGAGACACAAGTTTACAAGTAGCTTATGATTCTGAATTTTTTTTTTTATGACGAGTAACCCTTACCAACAGTTCTCATTTAGGTGAAGCGCTACGGCCAGGCTAAATTTCGGGACCGTTTATTCGATACAGTCGGGTCTTTCTGAGCTGAGGTAGGGGGTGCTACTAGAGGAGATGAAGATGCACATTTATCGATGATCAGTAAGGCGAACGACAAAGATAAACTTCGAACCATGTATCGCGACGAGAAAAACAGTAGATTTACACTCACACCATTAGGGCTAACCCTTGTTCTATCTAATCTTGAAAGTAAAATGTTAAAACCAAAATAACTTACAATCGAACGGATATCATAATTGTCATGTTCATTCTGTGTAAAAAAATATTTTTCTCAGAAAATAAAACATAGTTTTGTTACGATAAACCAATTCACTCAGTCTGTCTTTGCCTCTCTCGATCTAGGAGTAAAAGTATGAATGCGGTCACATTTGATCGAATCCCTCAATTTTCTCGTCTCATTCATTCTAATTAAGTTCATGGGGGAATTAAGCTTTCAGCATCTCATTCCTGATACAATCAGGTCTTGTATAACCAACATTTAACATTCTTCAAACTAAAAAAGACAGCGTTCAATTTCGATTGACGTGATTGAAAACGAGTAATTATGTCTCTTCGAACTCAGCATTAATTTTCTAAATGTTCAACTTTTGAAAAAAATGAATTTGCTGAGAAAGAAGGAAATTAATAACGCGGCGTGCAAGTGCAACTGAAAGCTTGCTCAATCAATTAAAATTATTAGGCATAATTACAGACAAATGGGAAGAAGAACGAAGCTCTCTAATCTCGAACTTGCAGTGCAAATTGCGATAACTAAATTAATTAATTGATTGATTAATCATTTTTATTAGAGCTAGAGCTATTGTAATTTATATGAAAAATGTTACAGATGGAGATCTAAACTCACGTGAAGATCCGGCTGCTGCTGCTGCTGCAAATTCGGTTTCGACCCGGACCCGAACCCGAACCGCCCGCCTGATCCGACCACCTGATCTTCTCCTCCACGTAACGCCAACGGCGCGTGCTGCGTGGCCGCCGCCGCCGCCGACCTGTCTCGAAGAAAAGCAGCAGCAGCAGCGCCGCCGTGAACCGTCGACGTCGCCGACGGAACCCGCCACAGCCCCAGCGGACTGCCCGTAATAGGCTGCTGCTGCGGATGCGACGTGGAGGAGGAGGAGGAGTAAGAAGAGACGACTCCGCCGCCGCCGCTGCCGTAAAACCTAGTAGAGGAGGAAGAAGACGACGTCGTCCCGTTCCACGAAGAGTAGGAGGAGAAGGGCGCGTGGTGGTGAGCGGTGGTGGTGGTTCGGTAGCTGAGCGGCGCGTAGAAAGGGTGGTGGGCGACGTCGGCGAGGTAGGAGCTGGTCCCGGCGCCGCCGTGGAGGTGGGCCCGCTTGGCGTGCTGGCGCTCCCGCTTGTGGGCGTTCTGGTGGCCGCCCAGCGCCTGGGAGGTCGGGAAGTTGCGGCAGCAGTAGTGACACTCGAACCTCCTGTTGTTATTGCTGCCGTTGCTATTGCTGGTGGTGTTGTTGTTACTATTGCTCTTGTCGTCGTTGTTGTTGTTTTCCGCGACAGCGGCGCTGTTCTCTTTAGAGACGGGATTGTTGTTCCCGTTGCTAATGTCCAGTAGAAGGTCGCTGGCTGCCGTGTTGCCGCCGCCGTCGCTGCTGGTGGTGCCGAATTCGATGCCGAAGAGGCGAATGGGCTTGTCGGATCTGGGGGAAGGGCGGATGAAAGGGAGCTGGGAGAAGGATTCCACGTTCATGAAATCGTGGGTCTCTCTTTCTGTCCCCATTTTGTTCCCGTTGCTATTCTATGGTGTTGTTATATGTACACTATTTGTGACACTTCGCACACGGCCGGCAAAAGATGTGTATATGAAATTCTCCAAGAAGGAATTTTTGGGTAGTATGGGAAATGGAATGGGGGAGGTGGGAATGAAGGAGAGATGGGGAAATTGGGGAAGTTTTTAAGGATTGATGGGTGGGAAAAGAGGTGTTGTTGGGAGGAATGAAGTGTGGGGACTATAAAGGAGGAAGGAAGAGAGTTTGGTTGTTTTTTTTTTGGGAGGGAGGGAGAAGAAGAGGACAAATGGAGGGATGACCCATCCTAAAGGAGACTATTGATTATGAGAGAGACTTAGAGAGAGAGAGAGGGGTGTAAGGTCCATGAAAGAAAGAGAGAATTATGCAAGCAAAATGCCCAATTCTACATCTCCATCGCATTCATAAGTTGTGTTCGAGTTCAAGGTTCTTTTTTCTTTGGTGTTCTGTGATGGGGTTCTCTTGCCTTTTTTTTTCCTCCTCTTTGGATGCATGCCAATAGTTGAGTTGTTAAACTCGTTGTCATGGGAATCAAACCGAACCACCGGTTGGGCCGGTAAATTTTTTAAATAAGTTACAATAGCGGGTTCGGTTCGTTTATTTGGACGGTTGTGGTGGATAGACCGAACTTATTTTTAAGGGTTTGAACTTTGAACATGCAACTAGCTGAATAAACCCCAATTTGACTGGTTTGCTAGTTCACTATTTTAACACAAAAAAAAAGGAAAAATAATACTACAACGTAAACTAAGACCATCCGACTTTAATTAACAATTTTGTTTCTACGTCATATTCTTCGTTTTCCTACCTCCTTTCATTCGCAAACAGGAAACTGACTATCTTGATTCATTTTCTTTGAGGTCTAAAATCAGAATATAAAGTTATTAAGAAGAAAATACTTATGTTCAATCCATCTTCCTACAGTTCTAGCTGATATAGATGACCTCATCTAGCTAGTATGGCTAAGAGCTCAAAGCTCATGCAACTAGAAAGAAAGGTCAATAATTGGTTTTGGCAATAGGGGCTGGAGTACCTAGAGGAAATGGATGTGTTAGAAACTCGCTTATTTGGAATTCTAAGAACTGACGTAATCGGATAGATAGAAAGGGATTTAGTGATCGAGAGAAAGAATTAGGGATTTAGATAGAAGAACATCATCGAGAATTAGGAATTTGAGGCTAATTGAGAGGAGAAGAAGTGATAGGGAGATTGGGGATTTCATATATTATTCTTTGCTTAATCGTAATGGAATAACAACGTACATAATTATAGGAAAATACCGAAAAAATTCTAGCGATTAACCTAATACTATTAACCCTAATAAAATTAATAATCATAAAAATAATAAAAGAAACCCTCAAGGGTTCGGTTTCTAACATGATGCTGGTGAATAAACACATGGGAAGAAATCTTGCAGGTTCTGCAAACAAACAAATCACTTAGGAGTCGTTTGAAAGTTGTGATTGTTAGAGTTGTGTTTGTTAAATACATGTATTATGCACAATACAATGTTTGGAAGTGTCAAGTTGTAAAACAATGCATGTATTGTTTTGTGTAGGTCCCACCAACAATCACAAAAAATAATGCATTATACAATCTCAACTAAAAGTTGAGATTGTTGTGATTGTTTCTTTTAGATTTGTGTCCACTTTTTCTTTCCATTTATATCCCCAATATTTTTTGTTTTATACTAGAAGGTGAGGGTAAATGTGACATTTCCCTATAAAGTAACTTTATGCAAATCAATACATAAATTAGAATCTCAACAACCAAACAATGTATTGTCAAAATTCATCTATTGTATCAATGCATGTATTTATATTGTAGTGATTCATTACAATACAACGATTTAACATTCGCAACTTCCAAACGACCCCTTAATAGAAGAATGCTGGAGACTAAAGAAGAAGAAAAAGGAGAATGAGTAGGAAAGTGGTGGACAAAAGAGGAAACAAAAAGTTTACTGGATATGTATCTTAGAGAAGCTCAAGTGGGAGTGAAACACAGAGTGAGATAAATGACCACAATGACGCTTTCTTTGTAAGTAATTCATCATTTGGACTTACATATGAAGAGATGAACAAATTAAGCTATATGTTGCAGACTGGTGGTAACATGTCCTCACCTATGAACAATCCACTCCCATCACCTCCCACTTCACCTTTCATGTGTCATCAAACATATTTTGTTTTGCTATGTTTACCTCCTTTCCCAAACATTGCAAGTAAATATGTCCTCTCATGATCCCTTTCCAACTCAGAAAGTAATCACATATTAAACTTTTGGATTCAAGATACAGGGGAATCAGATCACATAGTCTCTTCTCTTACAATATATTTTTATTACAAAGAAGTTTTTGATACCTCACATTTTTCAAATTCATTGGGGACTATCAAGTTGCCCACAAGATTATGGCTATACAATGTTATTTTTCCCCCGTGTTTTTCATTTAATCTAATATTAGTTAGCCATCTCACACATGACCTCCCTTTAGCATAACATTTTCACTCTTATCTTTTTCAAATTTAGGACCTTATAAACAAGACGACGATTGGTTTAGGATGAGAATCTAAGGGACTTTCCATCAACCTCCAAGTCATCATGTTCTTCACTCACCTCAAGCATCAAGTGTACAATTTACAACCCCATCAAGTTGATCTATAGCACTGGAGATTAGGCCACCCTAGTTCTAATCGACTTTCCATGTTGCAGTCTCTAGATTCCACTGTAATAGTAAATAAAGTACAACATTGTAATGTTTGTCACTTATCCAAACACAAAAGGAAACCTTTTCTTGTAAGCACCAGTCATGCTAATGAACCCTTTCATTTACTTCATGTTGATATACGAGGTCCCTTGTTTGTTGACTCTTATGATGGATTATATGCGTATTTCTTAACTATTATGGATGATTATTCTATACTTTTCTGGGATTTATTTGATGAGGTATAATAGTGAAACCAGAGAATTATTTAAAGGTTTCTGTTAATTGATTGAAAACCAGTTTGGCTCTACTATCAAAGCAGTAAGAAGTGATCAGGGTAAGGAGTTTAACATGTGTGAGTTCAACTTATCTGAAGCCATTGAACATCAAATGTCATGTGTTTACACTCTTGAACAAAATGCAAGGGCTAAAAGAAAGCATAAACACATACTTAATGTTGCAAGACCACTTATATTTCAGCCTTGCATACCCTTACAATGCTAGAGTGCGTGTATACTTCGTTTACCTAATCAATAGGTCGCCTACAACTACTATGCAAAACAAATCACCTTATGGGGTTCTCTATAAGAAGCCTCCCTTTTTAGGTCACCTCAGGGTATTTGATAGCTTGGTTTATGTTAGTACTCCAGCTTCAGGCATGGCCAAGTTTGCTCCCATAGCATGACAATGCATATTACATAGTATCCCTTAAGATATAAATTTCTTGATCTTTTAAAAAAACAAGTTTTTATCTCTAGTGTTGTTTTCTGTGAGTCTATTTTGCCTTTTAGGAATTTTCATGATTCTCCAGAGTCACCTACTCCTTTGTCTCATGATCATGTTCCTTCCACCTCCTGTCATGCTTTTGACCCTCACATTTCCACTCTTCCACACTCAATCATCCTTCTCGTGTACATGGCTCAGATGATGGGGGCATAACATGGTGGTTGAAGACGAGCTAGGTGGGTCGGGGGTTGAATTCTATAATCACATAAAAAATCCTATGCGTAGGAGTTAGAAAGTTACGTATAAATTGAATGTTATTTTATAAATACGCTTTGTTTGCAACAACGTACGGATTTGTTGTTAGCCTAGTGGAAAGTTGAATTTCTCACTAAATGGCCGTGGTTCAAATTTTGTTTTGCTAGAGGCCTTATTTTATGGCTAGTAGTTTCAAAGTAGGCCAATTAAGTTCTTCATGTTATAAAAATAGAGAACAAAACAAGAACAAAAGTAGAGGAAAGTCACAAGAGAAGAATGGAGAAGTGTTCTTTTTCTTATTCATCTTATTCATTTGTGTAATGGGGTGCTCTATTGATAGACACATATACATAACCTTTACAATCTCCTCTATCAATACACATGAATGTGATATAATAACCATGAAGATGATTCATTTCTATGATCAATGTAGGGAGGTAAATACCTCCTAATGTAACATCCCATATGGAATCCAAAGTAGCATCCAATATGGAATCCAATGAATATCCACAATACTACATAGTTTTATAACACTCCCCCTTGGATGTCCATTTATTAAGAATATGACTCATTAAAACCTTACCAGGAAAAATCCTATGAGGTAAAATCCTAGTGAAGGAAAAAGAGTGCATAATCATAATACTCTATCTGAAACTTCCTCGTTAAAAACCTTACTAGGAAAATCCAGTGGAAAAAACTATGGTTAAGGAAAAAAGAGTACAATGCATATATGCTCCACTCATGACAACATCAAAGTGTAGTTTCTTAGTGAACAAAACTTTCAAATATAGTCATGGTAAGTTTCTTAGTGAACAATTCTTCTAGATTATCACTTTATGCATGATCTATTAGGACCATTTTCATCATACATGATCTTCATGATCATTTTCTATGAAGATAGTCCACAACCACAAGTCATTTAGACGTGTTGAGTCATAAATCTTAACCAAACAGCTCATACTATGTCTCATGAATGCTAACCATTGTGCATGATATGATGGTGTAGCATTTATGATTTGGAGGACAGAGGAGGAAGAACAAGATGATTGGCCTAGTAGGTTATCCTTGATGATTTGGTTCATCTGGAAACATAGAGTTGAAGTTACTTTCAAAGGGAAAAAGATGGCAGACTCATCCCTTATTAACTACGTGACAGCCAATGCGGTGGACTGGTTACGAACTTGGGATAGAGCTAGCCTTCACCTGAGCAACATGGAGAAGCCTCAACGAGAAGACTGCCAAATCGGTTGGAAGGCTCTGCCTGGTAATTGGAAGAAGATGAACACA